AAACCATTTTGACAGGATCTTGGTAGATCCAAAGCAAGTGATTTGATATTCAGATAGCCTAATGCTGTTTTTCCATCGTCTCAAAAAGTGACAAATATCAAGCCTTCTTAGTTTCAATTCTATTTTTAGTTGTCATATATAGACAACTAAGAGGACACTAGAATAAGGATTTTGCATGTATTTATAGCCCTTTTGAATCAGCAATAGACATGTGACGTTCATTCAAAGCATTCCTATAGTCCTCACTAAAGAAGATGACGACATTTCAAATTGTGGTCATAAATGAGGTAGAAATCTATGTTTCTGTTCTTAAAGGGACTTGTTCAGGTGAGGCAATTGTGCTAAGGTATTGACTTCAATGCTAGATGTACAGTTAAAGATAATCTGAAAATTTGAGTGAAAACGGTTCATGATTCATGGTACAAATTGGGGAAAACTGGTCTGATCGATTCCTTAATTCTCCCAACTATAGTAATCTAATTTATTTACATTTTAGATGAATGTAAATCATCAGAAAGCAATGAATTGGCTCTTTATACCATCCCAGACATTTAAGTGTTAACAGATTTTTTCAAGCCTGTCTTATGTATTATCTTCATCAAAAAACGGTTGGGAAAATTCAAAAATGTTTAGGAGAATTTGCTGTTAGAGGGTGTCACATAGTGACGCCTTCAAAGAAAACCACAAATATCTTTGTGGTTTGAGAATTTTTCAGGATTTGTTGCATGTTAGAGGGTTAGTACAGTAGAAGGAATATAATAAGTAACAGTTCATACAAAAAATTACGTATTTTTTCCATCAACCTTAAACAATGTTACCAAGTCACTTTAAAGCTGGTCAGGCTGGTTCAAGGGATTTAAGCATGGTATAAACTAGAGAGCTCTTCTTCTCATATTTGATGCAGGTAGTTGTCTGGTAGATTGATGGTCATATGATCTTCTGCTGACAGCTAAGAAAAATGTGCCTCGTAAAAACTCCATCTTTTAAACCCCTACAGCAGGACGAGCATGCATCCTGGAGACGTTTAGAGCGCTGTGTTCACATCTAAAGATATTCTTGTCGTATTTCATCCTAGTCTTACTTGGTGTGATGGATAGTTTACTAGGATTAAGTCTTAAATGTGAACAAGGCCAATTTTGTATAGTGTCACTGTAGAGTTTGAGTGTGTATATTGATAATGTTAACAAGGTCTGTGTAATAGAGTACAGTATCACGGTAGAGTTTGAGTGTGTAGATCACTGAAGGAATATTTGAGTCTAGTGTGAACAAGGTCAGCGTAATTGAGTACAGTATCACAGTAGAGTTTGAGTGTGTAGATCAATAAGGGAGTAATTGAGTCTAATGTGAATAAGGTCAGTGTAATTGAGTACAGTATCACAGTAGAGTTTGAGTGTGTAGATCACTGAGGGAGTAATTGAGTCTAGTGTGAATAAGGTCAGTGTAATTGAGTACAGTATCACTGTAGAGTTTTAGTGTGTAGATCACTGAAGTAGTAATTGATTCTAGTGTGAACAAGGTCATTTTAAATGAGTACAATATCACAGTAGAGTTTGAGTGTGTAGATCACTGAAGGAGTAATTGAGTCTAGTGTGAACAAGGTTAGTGTAAATGAGTACAATATCACAGTAGAGTTTGAGTGTGTAGATCACTGAGGGAGTAATTGAGTCTAGTGTGAACAAGGTCAGTGTAATTGAGTACAGTATCACTGTAGAGTATGAGTGTGTAGATAACTGAGGGAGTAATTGAGTCTAGTGTGAATAAGGTCAGTGTAATTGAGTACAGTATCACTGTAGAGTTTTAGTGTGTAGATCACTGAAGTAGTAATTGAGTCTAGTGTGAACAAGGTCAGTGTAAATGAGTACAATTTCACAGTAGAGTTTGAGTGTGTAGATCACTGAAGGAGTAATTGAGTCTAGTGTGAAGAAGGTCAGTGTAAATGAGTACAATATCACAGTAGAGTTTGAGTGTGTAGATCACTGAGGGAGTAATTAAGCCTAGTGTGAACAGGGCCAGTATGAATAGTTTGGTGTGCATGTTATAACCAGGGTAATGGAGGAATAAGTGATTCTAGTGTGAACACACCTTTGTATGGAGAGTTTGAGTTTGCGTTGGTGAAAAGAGAACTGGGTAGAGGAACAAGTGAAGTCAATGTGAACGAGTCTGCATGTCATAAATGGTGAAAGCAGCCTTTTGTTGATCCCATTCTGTTGATCCTCGGTTCTTTTAAAGGTAAAGACCAGTATTGGAAACGCCCCAATTTAAAAAAAAATGAAATGGAAGCTCTTATTACCAATCATGTGAAAGAATATGTTTTGACTAATACATGATGATAACAATTTTGCTGGGAAACCGCCTACTAATTGATATATTTGGTAAATTACTTTATCTATTGGGGTGTGAGAGATATAACGTACGTGTCGCGCACGTGTACGTAGTCCCATATATATCTTTTTGTGTACAGTGCTTGTAACTTTACGAAGACTGGGCCAAATTTCTAATCATTTTGATGATTCCAGAACCTTGCAGTACACACCAATACTTATATGCTAGATGATCAACCTTTTCTGATCGATTCCACAACGTTTCCTTCACAATGCAATCGCATGACCATAACTGGTCTTTATCTTTAAGATGAGAAGGATTTAAGAGTCAGCTGTAAAGATGTCATTAGAGGTGATCATAGATCCATACAGACAGTATTCACTAATCCTTATTATAAAAGATAATCCTTAGTTTGTCACTAGTTGAGTATGCACTCATACTGTTCCACTTGTATCAAAAGATTTACATGTGCCAGATACATTCATATTTATTTTAAAAAACAGTTTTGGTGTCTTAATATCTTACGATTGATAATATTGTGAAGAAATTCTTAATTTAGGCTATATCACTTCCCTCTGTCGGAGCATAAATGCACTCCACTGCATGCATTGTCACAGAGGCACATAATTGTGCACAAGCAGACATCTGCTGGTATATATGACACCTTACCGCTGTACATTGTATGTAAATTATTCTCACCTCTCATATTACCTACCGGTACTTATGAATAAAAAGATATTTCACAGCAGCTTAGAATTGTCAGTACATCCATACATGGATAATTTCTCCTTTAATGAATAGCTTTAAAGTGAAAGAAATATACATCCATGTAAAATTGTCTTTTGATTTATTGACAACTTTACCTAACGATTTGTTTACTACACAAGTTTGTGCCATCTGCAGATAATGATTAAAACTTCCACCAGCTTCTAACTCATTTTACCTGCTAAATTCATCCTAATTGATTTTAATACAAGTACAGGTGTATAGATACATACTTCTCTAATTGCTTGAAGAGAGGGGGGGCTCACAGATGACTTCTCCCTTTCATTAGAGTAATTAGCAGTGGGATTTTAGACTTGTATCTATTCTGCAGCAGAGTCGATCTTAAAAGCATTACATGAAATCTGTGGGATTACTCCTGAAGCCTAGCAAAGGTAGTAATTAGTCACTGACAATCGGTCGTGTTTAATAGAGCACTACCACATCTTTTCCTCATCATCAATTCAACAATTACCCACGCAGTATTAGCAACACTAATTGGCCGGACGGCAGCAAAACGCACGCACTAAACGCCTTAAAGGTAAAGACCAGTAATGGTCATGCAATTGCATTGTGAAAGAAACGTTGTGGAATCGATCAGAAAAGGTTGATCATCTAGCATCTAGCATCTGCAAGGTTCTGGAATCATCAAAATGATAAGAAATTTGGCCCATTCTTCATAAAGTTACAAGCACTATACACAGAAAGATGTATATGGGACTACCCTATCTCTCTCACACGACCATGAGAGAAATAAATTTACCAAATATATGAATTAGTAGGCGGTTTCCCGGCAAATTTTTTATCATCATGTATTAGTCAAAACATATTCTTTCACATGATTCGTAATGAGAGCTTCCATTTCATTTTTTGAAATTGGGGCGTTACCAATACTGGTCTTTACCTTTAATAGAGCGACATGTTGTGTATTTGAGATGCCTGGATGTAAACGGCTTACAGCATATCTGATGTTTAAATCGATCTTTCTGTGCGTCTGTTTCTCTCTCCTTCTCCCTTTCTCTCTTGCTCTGTCTGTCTCTGTTTCTGAGCTTTATTACTGCGTCTATGTCTGTACATGTATGTTTGTCTCTCTCTCTCTGTCTGACTCTATGTCTGTTTGTCTCTCTCTACCTATCTCCCCTTGTCTGTTTGTCTATCTCACTCCCTCTTTCTCTATCTGTCTATCCATCTATCTTTCTATCTCACTCACTGGCTCCATGTGGCTTAATATTGTTTGTTCTGATGTTGTGTAAGAATGTGACATAAAGAGAATTAGGGTTATCAAACAATTTTTAATGGAAGCCGTGTGAAATCTAATCATGTATACAAGCTATAATTTGATATTTGTTATAAATGGGAGGGGGGGTTGAAATACAAATTAATTTCATTTGATGTATTTGTATGTGCAGTTGAATAATTGCAGATATTATATTTCAGTTTTCATTAATAAATCTCTCGTAAAGTTAATTGGTGGTATTATTCCTCTGCATTTAGTTTTGTATTAAACCAATCAGAAATGTTTGTTCAGTGAAAATGAAATTATCTCAATTGGATATACATGTACATGGATGTGAAAGCCACATTGCAAGAGTATTATTCTAACAAAGTAAGATTATTTAATTTTATGAAAAAAATGAAGTGTGGATTGAAGTGATGATATTTGCTGTCAATGTAGATTTGTATGATGGTATGATATCATAGTTTATGTTTTATACATATAATTATGATCAATATTAGGTAGTATGTTTGGTTTGAAGTTTTAACTTAGCTTCCACATACATGTTAGAGCATTGAAGAAACATCTTCCCACTAGGGCATTCACTGCTACACCTGGTTTGAGAGAAACTACATGTTCTGATAATTACTGGAGCTCGATTAACAATTTACAAACGAGCAATTTATAAAGTGCCTCCAGAACTTCACTCAATAGAGGTACAAATTGTTGAAAGGCACAAGCATGTATACATTCAAATATGATAAACTATATTCCATATTGATCTGCGTCTTCTCTAATTCTCTCTTCTATATTTCATGTAGAAAAATCGAGCGGGAATGGAGATGCTTCTATCACATCGGGTAATCACGGTGCCCCCGCCTCCTCCTAAAACGGCCTTACTTCACCCAGGTGAGAAAATGGCTCTGATGTACATTTTTTCTAATCTCTTTATGCTCTTATTGCTCTTGTTTTAAATAAACAGATTACCTAAACCTGTTATATGATTAAACAGATTACCATTTATGTTCAAATTTGCGACTTTTACTTTTCAGAATGCCAAACATGGACATTTTGAACAGGTATTGGCCTTAAAAGGCAATTCATTGCAACTTTTTTTTTTAAGTTTCTCATAATGGAAATCTATTATTAGATAGAGAGAGGAAAAAGAGAGAGAGAGAGAGAGAGAGAGAGAGAGAGAGAGACATCTGTCCAACATATTGCTTAATTTTCTTGTTAAGATTGTCAACAGCTTTTCATTCATCAGATGATGATTCTTCTCCCATGCAAAGTATCCCTGGGGCTTAAATTGAAATAAATCCTCATCAAAACAAATTTAGAACAAATTAAGAGCAACAATATCCCTTATTAAGAGCCTTAACGAGTGATTACCTGTAATGAATACTCATTAGGAACTAATATGAACGTTGTGTGGCATTCAATTGACTTTTAAATAGAGAGGAAATTAACTCCCTCGGATATGACACCGCAAAACAAATACCATAGGCATTTGTTTTTCTCACTAAAGCTATGCGAAAACAGTTTGGTTTGCAAACAAAAACTTACAAGAAACCATTGAGGGGGAAGAGAGAGAAAGAAGTCATCAATATATGATTATTAAGAAATTATAATGACAGGAACTAGAAGGGAATTAACTTTGTGTGAAAAGGTAAGATTAAATGAATTCTGGTAATCTGGCTCTGAGCAAGAAATCCATCATTGCCCTAGACTAAAAATAAAGTTAACTTGAAAGATTTGTCTTGCTGGTATGACCATCTAACGTATCCAGATAATATTTCTTTGGCATTCAAGTATTGTTTGAAATTATTAAAGATATAAAATCTATAACATAATATAAAAGGACAACAAGTCCTGTAGTTGCTTAGTTATAATGTTTAATGCACACTTTACTTATATGGTATTGTATGTAAGTCAGCTTATGTATTGAATGATGCATGATGTTATAAATGAATACGTTGTCATCAAGAATTCATTAAATAACACCAATAAATGACTTGACACTCCCTGCTTGCTGACGTTCAATATGCTGTCTGGTAATTTACAACATTTAATAAAAATCTGAATAAAAGGATGTCCAATTAGATTTCAAGTGTAATGACATTTATTTGCATTGAGGATATTTATCATGACAAGCATGTTGACTTATTTATATCCCCTGTATGTCTCTTTTATTAATTCATCTGTTCCTCTAAGAGTGAAACATGAGATATGGTGCTAATGAATTTATTTGGATTGAATGTGTTTATTTATTTCAAATGTGCTTTCTTTTTCTCTCCATATTGTTTGGTTGGTTAGGGGAGGGGGCAGTTAAACCATACTAATGCTCTCTGTATATATTATGTTTGGTTGGTTAGGGGAGGGGGCAGTTAAACTATACTAATGCTCTCTGTATATATTATGTTTGGTTGGTTTGGGGAGGGGGCAGTTAAACTATACTAATGCTCTCTGTATATTATGTTTGGTTCAGTGGGGGAGGGGGCAGTTAAACTATACTAATGCTCTCTGTATATTATGTTTGGTTCAGTGGGGGAGGGGGCAGTTAAACTATACTAATGCTCTCTGTATATTATGTTTGGTTCAGTGGGGGAGGGGGCAGTTAAACTATACTAATGCTCTCTGTATATTATGTTTGGTTCAGTGGGGGAGGGGGCAGTTAAACTATACTAATGCTCTCTGTATATTATGTTTGGTTGGTTAGAGGAGGGGGCAGTTAAACTATAGTATACAAATGCTCTCTGTATATTATGTTTGGTTTGCTGGGGAGGGGTGCAGTTATAGGAACTATATATAAACTCTTGAGATTATTGTCAAGGGCTTTATTTTGTCTAAGATAGGGTTACGGTTTGGGTCACAATTGGGTTTTAGGGTAATTTTATGACTAGGGTTGGGGTTATAGAGTCCACGTTTGAACTTTGGTTGTATTAACAATTGGCCACTGAGCAATTGTTGCTGGAGCACGTCTGGTAAAATGAAGATTTGATGGTTCTCCCAGTCATCTCATGCTTATTGGATGATTATAAGGATAAGTGTTGCTATCTTTCTTAAAACAAAGCCGAGGGCAATAGTCAACTGGACATGTTTTGGAGCACAACATTAATAGATGGACTAATGGACTGTATTGTTTTCATTTTTCATATATTTCCTTCTTCTCTCCATCTATACAGAGAGCAGTCCTTCTGTGGATAGCCAGGGGAGGTCGCGGAGGTCAAGCAGGAAATCTAGGTCACCGAGCCCTCAGGTCAGTTCACACTCTCATTTAATCTGGAACATGATCCTAAGATCAGTTCACACTCTCATTTAATCAGGAGCATGATCCTAAGATCAGTTCACACTCTCATTTAATCCGGAACATGATCCTAAGATCAGTTCACACTCTCATTTAATCTGGAACATGATCCTAAGATCAGTTCACACTCTCATTTAATCTGGAACATGATCCTAAGATCAGTTCACACTCTCATTTAATCTGGAACATGATCCTAAGATCAGTTCACACTCTCATTTAATCTGGAACATGATCCTAAGATCAGTTCACACTCTCATTTAATCCGGAACATGATCCTAAGATCAGTTCACACGAACATGATCGTAGAGGCTTTTGAAAATCCTCTCAAGGGCAGTTTCACTACCCTGTTGCATGTTTGGGTTATGTAACTCGTCATTGCAATGTTTGCACAGTTCAAACATGGGATATGGTTATTGAAATTGCCTTAAGCTGATTTTTCACTTGCTTGTGTTTTGCTTTAATTGTAATCTAGTCAATGAAATATACTGGAGACTCCAACAAACTAATCGTGATGCGGTGATAACATTTTGATTGTATTTATTAAGTAACAGCTTTAACAAGCATCTCCGATTATAGATCTTGGCATAGTAGTGTGTCTTTGAACATCAAACAACAAAGCAATATACCTGACTATATTACAGTCAATAGAGATGTAATCAGATTCATATCGATCAGGTTTAATCCATACTTTTGATTTGATTAGCATGCTTCTAAAAGTATGAGATTTAATCTGGTATTAATTCGTCACTGTTTTCACGAAGTGACGTTAGTGAAAAAAAAATTGCATTCACTTTGCGTTACGATTTTCCTCACTACCGTCACTTCGTGAAAATAGGGACGAATTGTTATAATTTCATTTATACATTTTGTAATGAGAAGATGTGAACTCAATATGCATTTTAATTCAAAGTGATCACACTTGATGTTTCATGCAAACTGATTTCATTCAGCTCTTTTCTATTTGAGAACATGAACTCATTAAAATCACTTATTTTTTACATGATTTTACATAGCACAAAGGAAAATAAATCTAACTCATCCTAGATGTGCAGTGTTAACACAAAGCCTCATGAAAAATGTCAGAACTTCAAGAAATGACTTGTGCATTGAAGTTGTGAAGTAACTAAATGGTGATTCTGAATCATTTATGAGTAGATTGATTGATAGATCTAGTTTAGTTATGGGCAAGACTTGGGATCCAATGTAGAGAAGTGAGATGATACAAGGATCATATGTCTGCATAGCAAAGAATGGCTAGTTGAAAATGCAAACATGATCAGGTAATTGAGACCTTCCATGGCATCTCCCTTACACCTTGTTAGACTCCACACAGAAATGCTGAATCTTTTTTTGTCGAGCATAGATAATGAAAAATGGCCATTGGGATAACATAGTTGATATGGATATCTCTCCATGATATCTGCATGAAGTTATAATATATATCAGGGAAGTAAGATGATAAAGACATAAGATGTAATTGACATTCATTCTGGGTTTGATACGAAGATCATATTGCCATGGCGATTGAAGAGGAGGGGAGACCAGAAGTTTGATATACAAGATTTTGCCTTTACTCAAAATCAAGAACACTGGTTTCACATCTTAGGAAGATACACAAATCAGAGAGAGATAGAGAGAGAGAGAGAAAGAGAATGAGAGAGAATGAGAGAGAGAGAGAGAGAGAGAGAGAGAGAGAGAGAGAGAAAATGAGAGAGAGAGAGAAAATGAGAGAGAGAGGGGGTAGGTAAACAGGAAGAGGAGGAGGGGGAGGAGGGAGGAGAGGGAGGGGCACGGGGAGGAGGAGGAGGAGGGGGGAGGGGGAGGGGGAGGGAGAGGAGGAGGAGGAGGAGGAGGAGGAGGAGGAGGAGGAGGAGGAGGAGGAGGAGGAGGAGGAGGGGAGGGGGGAGGGGGGAGGGGGGAATGAAGAAAGGAGAAGAAAGCCTCATATCAGCCTGGTATAATATCAAATTCACAATACCTTAAACAAAGTTTGATAAAAGGTGCCACTAACCATGACTAGTGCGTTAAATTAATAAAAACTGCTGATTATCATTAATCCGTAAAGTGGGTTTTAAAATGGAGATTACCTAGCTAGCTATGAGGTTGATTGATGAGGTGATTTTAATTTGTGATGAATATTCGTAGAATAGATTTTGTGTATCAGTCCACTTGGTAGAGGAGAGTCGGATAAAAGGATAAAATGTAATCTGGTCTCTATACCTACAGGGATGGATGGCCTAAATGTGGGTTGCGTGATTGTATGCTTACTGAAGATGGGATACAAATACTTGAGACTTTCTGCATAAAATGTATCTGTATCAATTGAAATTCTGACTCTATGGGAACATAAAAATAATTGTAACACATTCAGACTTTTTGCAAAGAACCTTCAGGTTCTATCTGATAATGATAATGATAATAATTACTGTTGCTTCTTGTAAGAACTCATGTCCATCACACCATCCAGTGCTCCCGGCAGACCAAATCTATGTTTGAATGAGTCACATTTATTATGTTATTTGAAGAAGCATGTTGTTTGCCTATCCACGCTATAGCAATTTTTTAATGCTGATAAATTTTAAGTTTGTTTGATATTTACACAAAACAAAATATAAAATGAATGCAAATGATACACTGTACACAAATAAAGACATTGTATGGCTATTCATGCATGGAACTTGTGTGAGAAGATGCAACATGAGGTATAGAATGTATCTGTAGAAGAGATAGAATGAGTAGAGTAGCAAGGAGGAAATAAACTATGGTGTTGTGAACCCTCTAGGCTAAACATTGACAGAGCACTTGCCATGGTATTGCTACGGTTACCAAATCAAGACATCCTTCAAGAGAATGAGTTAGATTAGCATCGATCAGAGGAATGATGCTTGCCACGGAACACTAGAGGGCTCCCATTCAATGCCATTCACTCACCGATTCTACTCTTAACAAAAAAGGGGACATGATCAATAAAGCCCTCGACAGGTTTTAGAGGGAAGTCTGCCATCTTTCTCTTTCACGTGCCATGTGTATATATGTGGTCTTGAAAGAGATATGTTTTGGTTATTTGAAACGTGTCATAGACGTTTTTGAGAATCTCTCATAAAGATGATTTTATATCAATGTTGAAATCATATAGTAGTCTCAAAAGCCCTAACATTGTCAAAGTTGAGATCAATTCAAAGATTTTGGAGAGATTAAAAAGAGAGAAAACATAAACCAAGGGAACTATTCATGCAAGAAGAAATAAATAGAAAATAAATTTGTTTTATCTGTCAAATGTTAGTTCTGTAGGGTAGTTCATAATCAGTAAAAGGAAAAGAATAGTGTGATTTACAAGGAAGGCTAGACTACACAGTGAATTCTCTTTTATTGCAAATTTGCCAAAAGATAGTTACAATGTCAAAGCAGTAGTGGATAAATATGATGAATAGGCTAATCTATTCTTCATTGCATGGGTACAAGTGAAATCCAACTTCTTTGAGGTAACTCTTCCATTTTCATTATACATTATACATTTTGTAGCTGACACTCTACTAGTGATAGGTCTACAGCTAAAAAGGAAGATATAAAAAAGAGAGAGTAAACAACTCAAGTTTATATGTGCCACCTAATGCTTTTGAGTCACATTTGCAGTCTAATGTAAATGAAGCCTTTGCCGGGGATAGCATTATGGTCGGGTATGTTTATACTAGGATCCCCAGCCCTCCTACCCCCCCCCCCCCCCCCTCCCCTCCTCCCATTCAATAACATTTAGGTGAAACATGTTTGACATGGATCTGTTTGTTGTATGAGGCCATGTCATTAAAGTTTAATGGCTAGGTCATAACATAAATATAAAGTTCACATCCCTAACCTGAATCCCATATTTATATGAGTCATTGTCATACATTATTAATGAAGATTTAAAGAGACATTTTTTAATTCTAGGTTCTGCATATTGCATGACTTAAATGTGATGGATATTAAAGGGAGCATTGAAAGAAGGGATTTATGAAAGTTTTAAAAGATTTTTCCTTTATTCACAATCAAGAACAAAAGATGATAGCAGTAGTTTTATATCTTAAGAAGATACAGGGGTCAGAGAGAGAGGAAGAGAGAGAGAGAGAGAGAGAGAGAGAGGAGAGAAAGAGAGAGAGAGAGATGGAGAGAGCGAGAGAGAGAAAGTGAGAAAGAGAATGAGAGATAGAAGTAGTGAGAGAGAGAATTTGAGGGTATTTAGTAGATTTGCAATATTAATCTTTTATTCCCAAGTAAAGAAGAAAAAGCCCAATCAGTACCAGTTTCAAATGAAATGATGTTACAAGGGTTTGGGATAAAGAGGTATGAGAGAATAGATGAAGGAATGTTTGTGGGTTTAAGCATTTCTTGTAACACATATATTTAAAACATTTTGAATAGTAATGCTTTCTTTATAAAAATTTATGAAAGGCAAAGCTAGGATTAGTTTCATATTTTATGATACCAGTTCAGTTTATTTTAACCATAAAAATGAAACATGTACATGCAAATGAGTAACATAGTAAACATAATACGGTAAAGGACACCCTTAGAAGCAAATTGCTTGTGGTGGGGCCTTAAAAAGAAAAACAAACTACACATAAATTATATAGTTTAAAAACTTTAAAATAACATGATACAAACACACATGCATGCTCACACATATACATACACACATACATTCAAAATATCCTCCTCAGCTCAAACTTGATGATCAAGGGTTGAAGAGAAAGAGGTCAGATTTTACGAGAAAGATAATAAAATTTGTAAGCTTGAGCACTGATTGAATGCATGATTGAATGACTGGGAACAGAGATAGAAAAAGAAGAATTTTCTTAAAATGTTGACAGAAAAGAAGAGAGTCTTCAACATGAAGCCCATTTTCAATGCTGTGTGATTTGATGCTATTGTTATGGGGAAGAACAGAAACAAGGAGAGAGAAAGTGTGATAGTGTTTATATGCAAATAAGAGGGAGGTAGGAGGAAGAGAATGAAGATTATTATTCCTCCTGTGTGCTCTTAATGGCGTGATAGCGAGATATTGCACTACTCTGTTTCAATCGAGAAATAAACTTTGCATTCCCCGTAAAGTCATCTCAAAGCTGTCCTATCAAGAAAGCTAGCTAATTCATTTTCAGGTTCTAGGGAGCAATTATTGAGGATAGAAATACTGGATTCTCGTTAACGGCATCACTGCAAGCTGTTTGTGTTCCTTTTCAGTAGGCTGGAGATTTATCTCAAAGGGGACAAAAATGTAAAAGGCTTTTATGATTTTTCCATGTGATGATTGTGTAATTCTCTAGTTGATCCAGGGATGTATTTCTCTCTCTCTCTCTCTCTCTCTCTCTCTCTCTCTCTCTCTCTGGAGATCCAATCTAGAGATCAGGAAGAAAAATTGTTCTAATCAGACACTAATGACTGTCAATCAAGATTGCCCCAATTCAAATTAGCCAGCTTCATTCTCTCTCTCTCTTTCTCTCTCACTCCCCCCCTCTCTCTCTCTCTCTCTCTCTCTCTCTCACTGTTTCTCTCTCTCTCTCTCTCTCTCTCTCTCTCTCTCTCACTGTTTCTCTCACTTATTCTTCAACTCCTTAAAGTTGTTTTCTATTTGTTGCTTGCCTTGTTAAAGGCATTGCTTAACAATGTTTCCAGTTTTACAAATTTGAGATGTATGGCCGTACATGTATATCAGGGTCTGTGATATGGTGTAATATTGAAGCCCTAAAGAAATTGCGCTTCAAAATGATCATGAAGTGCCTCAAAAAAGTAAAAGATCTTTGAGTGACCTGTTTTCCCCAATAGACCGTAGTGTTATGCAAACTGTTGGGAAAACAGTTTTTGAAATTGAGAATTTCAATCATAAATATCTCGTTAATCAGACAGGTGATCGGCTTGTAAAAGTCATGGGATTCTTGACTGACCTAAAGGTTTACAATTAGCAGCATTTAGAATCTGGAGCAAAGATACCCAATCCATTTTAATTCAGCTGTGCCCATATTTGTTGTCTTCTAAACTTTTCTCATTTCTCAATTAGTTTTGACCTTTTCCTTAATCGCCTTGTTATCTATACATGTTTAAAGCATTGCCTTTCAGTTCAACAATTGGCACCTTCTTCATAGCTGTTTTAGCACATTTATGTGTAGTTCACAGTATAAAATCATGTGATGAGTGGGTTTTCCATGACTGTCGCATAAAGTTGGCAAAATCAAATTTTGATTTGCACATTCCCGCTGACTCTGCAATCAAATGCCCTTGCAGACTCGAGCTCATATAAAGTCAGACCTACGCAGACAGTTTCCTCATTTTCTCTTCATTTCGGAGATGAGGTTATACGGATCTTAATCTAATACCGGTTAGAAATCAAATCATTCCCAGAGTAGACTCATATGGTCTGGGATGTCTTATTGCCTCATGCAGCACGCACGCGGCAGTGGAAAATCAATTGCTATTCAATTACTCTGCTAAGCAACTTTTACTTTATCCACTTAATGCTAGACGAATAATTGTGAATTATAAATCAAGTTGAGGAGGGGGCGAGGAAGGGTAAGGAGCTGAGGAAGGAGGAATGATGTTATCCCATCTGACCCTCTTGGGAGGAGGTGCTTCTTTGAGAAAAAAAAGGAGAAGAAGAAGAAGAAGGAGGAGGAGAAGAAGAAGAAGAAAAAGGAAGAGGAGGAGGGGGAGGGGGAGGGGAAGGGGAGGAGGACGAGGGGGAGGGGAGGAGGAGGAGGAGGGGAGGGGGAGGGGAAGGGGGAGGAGGAGGAGGGGAGGGGGAGGGGAAGGGGGAGGAGGAGGAGGGGAGGGGGAGGGGAAGGGGGAGGAGGAGGAGGAGGGGGAGGGGAAGAGGAGGAGGGGGAGGAGGAGGAGGGGGAGGAGGAGGAGGAGGAGGAGGAGGAGGAGGAGGAGGAGGAGGAGGAGGAGGAGGAGGAGGAGGAGGAGGAGGAGGGGGAGGGGGAGGGGGAGGAGGAGGAGGGGAGGGGAGGGGAGGAGGAGGAGGGAGGGGAGGAGGAGGGGGAGGGGAAGGGGGAGGAGGAGGAGGAGGGGGGAGGAGGAGGAGGGGGAGGAGGAGGAGGAGGGGGAGGAGAGGCAGAGGAAGAACATGGTGAAGAAGGAGAGAAAGAGGAAGAAGAAGAAAAATAAGAGATAAAAAGAGGGGTGGATGAAGTCTTAAGGAGCTGAGGAAGAAGAAATGATGCTATCCCATCAGACCCTCTTGGGGGATGCTTCTTTAACATTGTGGATTTATTTATCAGGTTTTTCTATTTTAGTCCTATTTGCAATTAGATGGAAGATTAATGAGTAAGAGTCTAGAGTGATATGTGCAGTGATTTCAATTCAGTGATGCTGCAGAAGTCCTGAAACCTTATTTGAAGGTTAAAAATGGATTGAAATCAAATGAATTCTCCCCTTCAATTTAGCACCTAAATACAAAAAGAAACATTTATTGGAGTTTCTTAGTTTATAAGAATTTCAAGAGGGCGTTCTGTGGGGGGGGGGGGGGGTATTAGTATGGTCCCATTATCCCATATATATGTGACAATTTCATCTCATTGAATATATACAAATGGTAGCATTGTAACTATTATTTGCCAGCTAAGAATAAACCAACATCATTCCTTTTCTTGTCTTTCAGAACAATTCAGGAAATCAAATCTTTTTAGTTATATGATTTGTTTTCTCTCTTTTTCACTACTCTATCTTGGGATATAGTTAGAACAGGAATGTGATATAGTATGAGGTTTTAGAATTAGGGAGATTGGAGAGAAATTGATACACATAGTGGTCTAAAATAGGGAGAAGAAATGATCATCAGATACCAAGAAATGCATGATGGAGAAGAAAGTAACCAATATGTGGTGAAATATAATCCAAGTATAATTTTTGCATTCTTTGATAATTTTTTTCCTTCTATTCTCTATAGCACCATGCGGTGTGCATAAAGTTAAACATCCAATCAGGGTTTCTTCTCTCTCATAAGAATAAGCTTAGAATGATAGGAGAGTGAGTGGATGATAAGGATGTTCTAATGATTAATTCAAACCCTTATATTATTACCTGATGAGAGCCAGACGGTCACTAAATCTATTTAGAATAATAACGTTATAATTTGCAATTCTTGCGGCATTAAACAGAATAGATCTCATTGATTGATTTGTTTTCTATTTCTTTCTTTTTGTTTCAGAGGACATCACCAGCCAGGACACATGATGGTTTAGATCCCATTCATCCTGCCCTTCCTATTGTCAAGGTAACACTTTAAAAAATCTTATTGTCTCTCTCTCTCTCGCTCTTTCTCCCTCTCTCCCTCCCTGTCTCTCTCTCCCCTCCTTCCCTCCCCTTATCTCTCTTTATCTCTCTCCCTCTCTCCCTCTCTCTTTTTGCCATCCACTCAGACTTGAGGCCACAGAAAATTGCTTTTGTTTAATCTTTATCTAAAGTGAAACAAGAGAAGGGTAGTGCAATTCATGTTTCTGTATGTATAGCACACACATCAGTGGGCCGTATAAATAGGCCCATCACTGAGCACAAGTTTGCTCCTCCCCCCCCCCCCCCCCCCCCCCCCCCCCCCCCCCCCCACCCCAAAACAAAAACAAAAACTAAAAACCTTTTACCATTCAATTACAGGCAAGGTTTTGACAATGTGGTATTTAATAATCAAAATTTGTTTTCAGACAGTTTGGTGTCTGGATAAGGCCTTAGCTGTTATATTTTCAGGCCTCTTTATTTCAAATTTCCAAAACCTGCTCAGCCTACAGATCCTTATTTTTGTGGTAAGCCTTGAGTTTTTGTTGCAACATTTATTCTTGTCTGTTTTATAAGCCCCTTTTCCTTGATCCTTCTACTATTTTTTTCTGTCTTGTCTTTCATACACACATAATTCCTTGCTTCAAATCTTCTGTGTCTTTGTAGTATTCTATTTTACTCATGTTGTTTTGGTTATTTTTATTTTGAGCTCTGAAATGTTCACACCATTGTAATCTCACAATTTTCCTCATGTTTTGAGGTTTGGTGAGAGAGCATAAAGGTTGTTACTCGCTGCATGTTTGTTCCGGTTTTCATTCTTGAATGCTTCCTTTCCTTATATTGATATAAACTCATTATGTATTCATGAGTTTCCATAGCCTCAAGTGATATGTATCCCACCATGAGGTCCTGCTATATAAGAGATGATGAGTAGTGTGTGCTTAGAGGTAGAAGGGCACTAACCCTGTGTAAAGGTATAGGAGTGAATACCCTTCTGGTTCTCAGCAGATAAATGAAGCTAGCTTGAAGACTGTTATAGTGTCTCTTGCCAGGATTACTGTACCATACCTCTATCGGGATATGATCTTATTATGTATTCATTAACTACCATGCCTATAGTCTCTACAATCCTCCAAATGGGTACTTATCAGGGCACGTTCACACCGCATAGACTCCCCTACAATGCTACTCTGATATGTGTTCAAGTGTTGGAATCTGTTCCCACTGCCTTTAGTGTGATTATTGGATTGTCTTCCCTGCTGGTGAATCTAATTCACAGGCAGGTTAGGACTGTTTTTGTTTCAAAACTAACTGTAAAATGTCCATCCTTCTAAGTGTATTGTAAAGAGATTAATTCTATTCATCCTATTTAAAGGTAAAGACCAGTATTGGAAACGCAGAAATTTCAAAAAATGAAATGGAAGCTCTCATTACCAATCATGTGAAAGAATATGTTTTGACTAATACATGATGATCAAAAATTTGCTGGGAAACCGCCTACTAATTCATATATTTGGTACATTTGTTTCTCTCATGGTCTGTGAGAGATATAGGGTAGTCCCATTTACATCTTTCTGTGTATAGTGCTTGTAACTTTACAAAGAATGGGCCAAATTTCTTATCATTTTGATGATTCCAGAACCTTGCAGATGCTAGATGCTAGATGATCAACCTTTTATGATCGACTCCACAACGTTTATTCACAATGCAATCGCATGACCATAACTGGTCTTTACCTTTAACTTGTTACTGGAAAGCAATTGATGTTTGAAATTAAAAGAGTGAATTTGGTAATGGCAACGTGTTAACAGTGTTGCATTGAATGCTTGTTATGTTCAATATCTTGAAATACCACATGCAGTTATTAATTCTATGATCTCTCAAAAAGTACTTCTATTTTTACTGCCCTTCCAAGAATATAAAGTAGCATTGATATGAAAGTTGCTTTGCTTTTGAATCTTTATATAAGAAATGAAAGAGAGAGGTAACAAGCATTTGAAATAACACCCAAAACGTATCTGAGCATATATATGGTAGTCCTCACTAATCTAAAAATATTTTTATTCAGATGTACTTCATATTTCTTGCCTAGTTTATAGCACTAGCCTCTAGATGCAGGTCACTCCCTCGTTAAGTACCGGCAATGATGAAAAGTCCCTGCCACGAGAGAGAGAGAGACAGAGATAAAGCTATGAATATATGATGATGTGTAATTGTGTGGAAAGAACATTGCATGGAAAGCCATATTTCCTCTTTACCCCAGCAGGATGGGGGGAAGGGGTAGGGGGGGGGGGCAGAGGTTCATTATACGATGTAAATAATAATAATAATAAAGATAGATTTATTGAGCGCATAATAAACCGAAGTTTCTCTATGCGCTTTACAAAGTAAAAAACAATCAAGTACAAGTATATTTAAATAGTTACAAATTAAGAACGAAATATAAAGACCTTAAACTAAAGACATGTAGCTAAGATAATTCATTGCGAGCAAAGTTAATACAAATGGCAAATACTTATGACAAATCAATTAGAGTAGCATATTCAATTATAATACATAGATGAAAAGTAATGTCAAAAATTACAAACGAAACAGGTAAGTTTTAAGAAGGGTTTTGAAAGTCTGTCGTGTGGGAGCTTGACGGACATGCAGAGGGAGCGAATTCCAGAGAGTTGGGGCAGCCACTTCAAAAGGAAATGACACATATACAAATCAATTATAACTATCCCAGCTTTTTTGTGAGTGTTGATTTTTCAGATATTAATTAAATTTCCTATAAAGATTCCCAATCAATACCCAAAATGGAAGTAAAATATAAATTTTTGATGAAAACGTAATTGCTTGTAATGATGTTTAAAATCTAGAAATGTAGTATTGGCATAACAGAATGTGATAAAATATTAGGAATACTGAAAGGTAAAAAATAATTTGTTAAGGGTGTTTATGTCTCATGTACTGGGTTGATGTGATTTTCTCAGCCTGAGCTCACAACTGCATCCCTTCCACGATACGCTATCATCGTGTGTGCAACAATTATAAATAGATTGTAGATGGCTGAAAAGTAAGACAAGTGGATCAAATTATGTGTGTGTGTCAGGGGGAGGGGGAGGAAGGGGTAGTTATAGAGATAGTAAAATGTTAATGATAGTATCGTGTGGGATTGATTAATGAAGGAGAATGCCGATGTGCATCATAGAATGTAAACTGTTGATAATACGTTTATGAAAGTAAAATTATGAGTCCATTTATAAAGGGCATATATAATGCCCCTATTTTGAACCCGGTCATGCCTCAGTATAACACACCCAGGCATTGGTGGGCGTCTGGAGTCGTTAATATTTCAGATCAATATTTCCTCTCCCGCAAGCGACTTCCCGGGCAGCTAATATTCGGTTATTAATAATTCAAGCTGCGGTTTTGTTTTTGGATGTAAGCTTGGCTGAGTTAGCGCTGGACTGATGGATAGCTCTCAGTGTGGGCTCCTTGGGAGATGACAAGTGTGACATGTGATGGTGAGAGAGAGAGAGGATGAAATTAAACCGGAATAATCTTCTCATCAAAATTGTCTTAAGGCTGTGAATGTTGCTGAGGTAACAATATGAAATATAAATATGATGGTTTAATGAAAACGATTGTGCATCATTGATGAACCTACCAAGTAGATATGTAGCTATTACTAAATTATTGATTCCTTTGTCAAGATGTACGAAAAAGTGAATTTAAATAGAAGAAAAATTGTTATTTAATGTATGATATAGCTAAGCATGCTAGTGTCGGGTAATTATAAACTGTTTGCCATCTTAATTATAAAGTGTAGGTGGAGGTTAATACAGGTAACCTTTTACAGGAAGCTGCATGAAGTTCCTATAGCTGTTTGATCTCGCTCGTAATCTTATTACTCTTAACTTTAATCTAATCAGTGATCCGTAACAAACCATGCTCCGTAACTTATGAAGTAGGCAGATAGAAATAGTCTCTCCTTTAAGACCTTTGTAAGAACCTTTGGCAAGGCAGTAATCAACATTTGCCACTCTCCACCCAGATATTGAATGGGTATACCTTGCCTTCTGAAATGTGTGCTCTGTTAATATCCAATATTATTTGTATTATTATAAAAAGGTATTGTATCATATTGTGTAAAGTTAGTTCAATAAGTCTAAAAGAATAGAAAGACAGTATCCTTAGTAATTGAGACTTCTAAGGCTGATCCCTTACTTTAAGGAAACTCATATCATGGAAGTACTACAATGAACTTTCCAGAAGCTGTAGAGGTTATTACAGTTATCCTTCAATGAGATTATTGAAAGGATTGCTAGCATACTGCACACCCTGAGGAAGGATTTAAATTAATAGAAGAAATATCGGAAGAGATTGATCTAGATAAAGAAATATAGATGGAAGAAAATGAACAGATAAATGCTGACAGAGATGGGATAAATATGTATCTAAGCTTGAATCATTTTGAAGATATGAAATATATAGGGTATTGATGACTAGAAAACTATATTGATAACTGAGATCTAGAGGAAAGGATCCTTTGGAGAGAATGAGATACAGGAATTGAAGAAGGAATTGAAGAAGGAAAGGTGGTGAAGAAAAGAAAGATAGAGTAAGTAATGGAGAGAGTAATGGAGAGAGTAATGGAGAGAGTAATGGAGAGAGAGAGAGAGTGTGTGTGTGTGTGTGTAATGGAGAGAGAGAGACAGGCAAATATCAAAATAAGAGGGACAGAGAAATGAGAGGAAAGTAGTGAGTGATGCAGAGAACAGGGGAGAGAGAAAGACAAGAAATAAAACAAGTTAGAGAGAAAGATTTGATATCTATAAATAAATGTAGCAAAGGGGTGACAGAGAAAGAATACAAAATCAGAGAAAGGGATATAAAAAGAGAGAGAGAGAGAGAGAGAGGGAGAGAGAGGGAGAGAGAAAGAGAGAGAGAGAGAGAGAGAGGAAGAGAGAGAAAGAGAATAACTGGTTACCATATGTAATCCTATTTACTGCCATTAAACAAAGTGGATAGTATCTTGATAAGATTGTAACCTCTTGAAGTACTTCTGCAATCTAGAGTTTATCCTTAGGGCATCATAGTGTAAGCTAAGCTCTAGCCCTGCTCTAGCCCTGCAGCTAGAATAGATACCCAACCCACACATCTTGTATCAATGTTGTTATCATAGATTTACAATTCTTGAAGGGTGGGATTACCTACATACATTTTGAAGTATTCTACAGACATCTGTTATTCTATATCTTGTATATTCATGTTTGTCAGTTATTAAATGACAACTTTTCACTGAGTTGAAGCAATAATGTTTTAGGATGTTTAATTGATATTTTTGTTGTTGGTCTTGTTTCAATCAGCTTCAATCTGTCAGTTTTTGTGCCACGAGACTCTAATATTAATTTCTTTTTCTTTATAATATTTCTTTCTTTATTCGATTACAACTGACAAGTTATATATTTAACAATTCTAAAAGAGTATCTGTCTCAATGCTGTTCATTCCTCTAGCATGTCTATATCCAATTAAACTGCACTGTTTCTTTTTTCTTGGTGAATGACTGGCTAAAGATGACTACCAACCATGTGTCTCTCTCACTTCTTACAAGGATAATATAATTGAGACTACAGTAAAGCTTTTAATGATAATAATATTCAGTTCTTGTATAGCGCATGAAATAACATCTCTATGCGCTTCCAAAGAGCGTTTGAAATTATTACTCTAGCTTTAGCTCCGGCAGCCGTAATCAGCGCACAGTGCATTTCAAGGAATAATCCTACCAGGTACCCATTTACCTCATCTGGGTTGAGTGTGGCAAATGTAGATTAATGTCTTGCCAAAGGATATTAGCGCCCTGGTGGGACTCGATCCGCGGACCTTGCGATCCACTTGACCACGACACCTTTAAAAGATGAAATAGTATAATTTACCATGACTGTTTCTACTCCATTGTCTGTCCTGTCTATCCTAGGTTCCATCAGACAAGCAATCTCATACTGGTACAATCTTCAGAACACTCATCTTAGCTAAGTCACCTAACCTCATCAAAGACAGGAAGAACAACCTTCGAACCTACCGCAAGTGCATGGTGGGATCTGAGATGGTTGATTGGTTGATGCAGCAGGGTCAGATGACGTTAGTAAGGTCGCGACCTCAAGCTATCGGGATGTGGCAAGCTCTGCTTGAAGAAGGCGTAATCACTGAAGGTTGGATGAATATATTATCTTTTAGATCAAGGGTGGCGTGTAAAAAGGGTTATAAATACACTGCAAGGGAGGGGGTATGGAGTTCCATTGTTACCCTAGTCTAAATAAGACCCCGTTCTCATTCACTTCGTTGGAGCGGTCTAACTAAGACCCGTTCCTCAGGAGCAGTTCTTAGGCGAGTGAGAACGGTCAAAGTCGTCCAGGAAGTGGACTTCTGGACCGCTCCAGAAGACCACCTCGGGAGGTGGTCTTGAGGAACGGGTCTTATTAAGAGCGGTTTGGACCGCTCTAACGTGCAATGTGAACGGAAGCATACTTTGACCGGAAGTGAGCTAGTGACGTTCCGTGCGAAACATTTAGTAGGTCTACGGTACATACAGTTTGTATTCCGCGCGCGAAAAAATTGACCTGCTGACCTGAGCTTCCATAGCAACAAGACCACTTTGACTCGTGGAGCGGTTTGAGCCATAAAAAACTGCTCGGAGTGTGAACGCTCGCAAACCGTTCCTCAAGACCTGTTCCTCTGGAGCGGTCTAACTAAGACCACTTTCAAAGTGAGTGAGAACGGGATCTAAGACTAGTCTAATATTAGGAAAGAAATAGTGGAAAAACAGCACAGAATTTTGTCAATCTTTTAAAACTATTTTCAACTCTGAATTTAAGGCGGAGGCATATAGGAGATGCAGTTGCGTTTGTCTTGTTTAATATGTGGTGATAATCATTTAATTACATGATTGTATTCATGTGTCGTAACCCTGGGCGTGGACGGTGTATTGGTGTATTATAGTGATTGTTCCAATCATTTTAAGCCTTGTAATTCTCGCTACCCTAAATAGGTACGAAAATCTCGAAATTCGCGAGACGAGGTAATTTTCACTCTCTCGGGTCGTCACTACAACTTCCGGTATAGAGTCCCATCCCGCTGGCGCTAGCGCCTGTGTTCGCTGTGCAGAGTTTTCACGCACGCTAAAATCGATGCCAATCAGTGTAATTTGTACAGATTATAATATATGCATTAAATTTAGTTTGTTTTTATTCAATTTGAATATACAATAAAAAGCAAAAAATAGTTTACAGGAAAGATTTTATTTTTATTCATGTTTTTTTTCTGTTAATCTAAAAGTAAAAAAAAAATAATTGTCTTAAAATTGTGCATGTAGCGACCAGCGTCACAATCACGAGCAGACGATACAGTAAACAGTGTAGAGACAACACTCAGTTCATGTATTTCTCGTCGACCACAAAATGGATAAAAAAACAGTTTCGGAACTTAAAAAAATCTTAACGGACAGAGGAATACCATGCAATGGAAAGCTTCGGGCAGAATTAGTGACTTTAGCACAAAAGGCCGTTAAACTCTAACCTGAAAGAGAGGGTTGTGATCACGAACTTTCCGAGCGAAAGCGACGCTGTGTTGTTGTGGAGGACGGCACAGGAAGCTGTAATGTCGAACAGCTATCCCATAATGCAATGCGCGTTTTCAGGATTTTCCCTGGATCTCGGCAGAATCGCTATTTGGGGTAGCGAGAATTGGATGTACTTCTTGCTTAATTATGCTTGATACTAAATTTGATAAAAAGCATCCAACCCAAGATGCAGAGCATTATATTGATTTTATTAAAGGATGATTTAGGCATCACCAGCCACACCGGCATCTTGAGAGAATACAACTTCTAAGGAAATGATCTCATCCTCCACATTTAATCCAGTCCCCCTTGTAAATCCACTCACTCTTGTTTAATCCTGTCCCCCCTTTTTTAATCCTCCAGTTAACAGAGAGCATCCCTTTCAAGATGCTGAGCATCAGTACCGGTTCCGTGAGGATGATCAAGGCATCACCAGCACACCATCACCATGTTTAATCCAGTCCCCCTTGTTAATCCAGTCCCCCTTGTTTAATCCACTCGCCCTTGTTTAATCCTCCAGTTAACAGAGAGCATCCCTTTCAAGATGCCGAGCATCAATACCGGTTCCGTGAGGATGATCTAGGCATCACCAGCACTCCAACATCATCTCAGAAGAAAGCTGCCGAGGAGGAGCTTCCGGAGATTGTTGGGATTCTAGCCAAGGTTGCTCCTGATGCTATGATGAGACTCATCCTACGCAAACCGTGAGTACTTTGTCCATACGTTGAGAGCCAGAAGGGTATAGACGCAGTGTGAAATTATTCAAGTTTAATTCCACCTTCTTGGCTCTCAATAAACATGTTACTTGATGGGTGATCAATATGATTGGATTTAAGCTGTGTTGGTTTAGTTCTAATTCGTTGGAACAGGTCTAAGGAAGATTGAAAAGTAAACAAAACTCTAGTCAGATAAATGCTTAACCTTAGAGTATATCTCTAGTTTCAACTATTCCAATGAAGTGGAAGAGAGAGTCTTACAATCTTTATATATTTTTAGATAAGCATACAGGTCTAGCACATCGATAGATTCCCTTTCCTTCTTAATATTGTGAATATGACTACCGGTAGTAACCAAATGAAATTTTAGTTTGTTTTCTAATGAGTAACTTGCTCATAGTTTAATTGAAAAACAATATTTTTACTTAGATAGTTAAAGGACTGAGCTTACAGGCTATTGGTTATTGATATCAATTTAATATGTTATTTCCTTCTCCTTGCGGTGTCCGTGTCTAGTTTGGTAAGATTGTTCAATTCTTTTAACTGAATCCCAGATAACACTTTTGTTGTAACAAGTGCATGAAAAAAAGGAGAAATGATTTTGTTATATTCTAATCCAATTTTTAACTTAAATTTATTCAAGCCTATATTTTTAACCCTTTTTGAGATTTGCTTTTGGATAACATAACATTTCCACAGATCCCAGCCTGACTTATCTCAGACTTAGTATTAAACTAACATGTTTTATAATGCCTTTGACATTGTCTGGTTTTATATGTGTAACCCCTTTACAGGGGCATGATAATTATATGTACGCCACTTCAAATACAAACTGATCCTATGCTGCCCTTTTCAAAGCAATCCAAATATTCAGATGTTTTTCCCTCAATATTTTTAGCAACGTGTATGTTTGGTTAAATGATTACTTATTTCTTACGGACTGATGGTAATTGAAATACTTTTGATGGAATGAATAAGGAGGGGAATATTCATGGAGAGAAATAATTAATGGCGAATTTATAAGGAATCTAAGAAATCACAATTTTGAAACAGATTCCTAAAAGAACATTCTTTCCTAGTATACAAATGCAAAACACACACAGTTTTTCTAAGACAGACTTTCATCTTGCCATGCCCGTATTATATATGTGAGTTAATGGCATAGAATGTGATTGTTAGTTTCTCAAAGGAAAAAGTTACATAACATCTACATACCAGTAAGACTTTCAGTTTTGTAATTAGCCATAAAGTGTTACTGTTTTCATTATCACAACAGATAAGATATCGTCCATTGAATTATTCCATAATTACTCAGCAAATATTCATAGTTTCCTAGAAAAGGGAATTATAATTTCAAATCTACTGTTGCACAAATAATGTGCTGGGAAGACCAATACACAATGAGTACTGATTCCTTCCTTATCTGACAGAGTAGAATAGAAAAGATTATATTTCACTATTTAGAAGTTATTTCTGCGCCTCTTACATTAAATACTATTAAAAGGCATTATGATTGACATCTTATTTCAGAATGTTACATTAATGAATAAATACACTACATTACAATATCAATGTAAAATAGCTACAAAGTCGCTTCCGCTGCTGCAAGATGTATATTATCGTTAATGGCGCTTGTCAAATTGATGTTTCTGTGAGTTTGATTTTTTTCTGTTGCTGATTGTATGATAATGTTATGTATGTTTACAAAATTAAGAATGTGCATGTGTTTTATTCTAATTTGCAATTGTTATTTATAACCCCCTGAAAAAGTATTATTTGAGTTATTTAAAAATATATATATATATTGATTAACATGAATACCAAGAGGAAATGAGAATCATTTCTGATTTATCTTTACAATGCATTGGAATAGGAATGAAACCCAAGAAAAGACTACCAGAGATTGTTAACAGACTTAAATTAATACCCTTGTCTTCATGAAGAAGACCATGGTTAGGGGTTAGAAAATTTGTTAAAGAAAACAAGTTTTTCAATTATGACAAAAGTCCCTGTATAGACAGAAATCGATTTTGCTAGATCCTGAGCAAATCTTAGTCACACTTGCGTACAAGCATGCACTCAATGTTTTAATGGAAATTTTCATGTTCAATCACTCATTGTAATATAAGGATAGATAATTTCTGTTTTGTATTATTAATGATTGTGGTCAGTTACTTAATGTAAAAAGATCTTGTCATATACTAAAACATCATCATCAACAACAACGTCTTCATATTCATTTTTATCATCTTAGTGATCATTATCATCGTTAACACCACCCTCATCAATCATCTCCATCATCACCATTATCATCATCATCATCATCATCATCATCATCACCTTCACCATCATAACAAACATTATTATCAATCATCATCATCATCATCATCATCATCATCATCATCATCATCATCTTCACCATCATCATCATCCATCATCGTCGTCATCACCACCACCATTATCATCATCATCATCATCATCATCTTCACCATCATCATCATCATCACCATCATCACCTTCACCATCATAACAAACATTATTATCAATCTTCATCATCATCATCATCATCATCATCATCATCACCTTCACCATCATAACAAACATTATTATCAATCATCATCATCATCATCATCATCATCTTCACCATCATCATCATCCATCATCGTCGTCATCACCACCACCATCATCACCATCATCATCATCATCACCACCATCATCACCATCATCATCATCATCACCACCATCATCACCATCACCATCATCATCATCATCATCATCATCATCATCATCATCATCATCTTCACCATCATCACCATCATCATCATCATCACCACCACCATCATCATCATGCTCAACACCATCATTATCATCTTTTCATCATCATTAAAATACATGACTAGTCACCACAATTATGTTGCTTATTGGAGGAATCTCCTCCTTGTTTGTTACCGGTGTTAGTGACCACGTCACCATTGTCATTTTCATAAATACAAGTATATATCCATTGCCATCATCATCAACAGCCTTTTCAGTGTGACTGTTATTATTTCTCCACAAAGAAATGAACATGTTTTCATCCTTTACATTTCCTTACTCTTACACTGACTTTATTGAAACACAGCACATTCTTTTTGTTAGTTTTGTTCCACATGTGTATGGTAAATGTCTGGAACATTATTGCTTTCACTCAAACTAATTTTCCTTATTTTTATAATTCCCTTTTGGTAAAAGTCACTATAATTTTATTACCATACTTGAAAGGGCCAATATACCACTATCTTTAACTCACTCTTCAAATCTAGTAACTTCATACATTTGTTCGCAAAGTTTACTACAGTTGTACACATTTATTGATTCAAATATTTTTAATATATTAGTTCACATACATGTACATATTGCATGTTTACTTATCTAACTTTTAATCAATATGAATTTCTTTTGATTTGCTTTATATAAAGCATCCCCTTTTTTGTTTCTTGTTGTTTTTTCACACTTCTATACTCACATATAGCACTCCTATACGAGCATGGGGGTTTGAGTAAGTACATTGCTTTGTTGCCATGGTAACTCTTTACATTAGAAATGGCTGAAATTTGAGCTTTGTACCTTTACCCTTCACAGCTTTGATTGGTGATACACAAATGCACTGGACTTGTTTATATAGTATCAGATTTAGAGTAAAAAATATCAAATTTTATATCTTCTCTCTCTCTCTCTCTCTCTCTGTCCCTCTCTCTCTCTCTCTCTCTCTCTCTCTCTCTATCTCTCTCTCTCTCACTCACACACACACACACACGCGCACACACACACACTCTCTCTCTCTCTCTCTCTCTCTCTTTCTCTCTTTCTCTCCCCCTTTGCACATATCTCCCTCTTCCTTTCTGTGCCTCAATACAAAAAGGATGTAGTCATAGGGACAAAAATCCTGTAACTTTAAAAACAACAGAACTTATCTTTTTTCATGGGAAGGGGAGGTGATACATGTTTGCACACATTGAGTCAGATTTCTACCTATGTTAAGAGCCTGCATGATTAGGATTCAATTAGACATTTTTGTCTCGTCTTTAAATTAAGTAATTTTGGATGAATGCAAATAGAAAATTTATGTTGTATCTTAAATTATAAGAATGAATGAATGAATAACTAATCAGGATCCTTTTTGAGCAAGACACTTATAGTCTGAAACAGACAAAACAAGGAATAATAGTACATTTAGTATGACTAAATTTCCCAATCACTCTTTAGATTTTGGGATGCCTATGATCACATAATTGTAGATTGTTTGAGATTTTGCATGACATTGTATTTGTTGCGCTATGACAGCATCAACCCTAACTGATTTACACTTAGAATGTCTATAATTTGTTGCATTTCATCAAACTAAAATGTAGACAGTATTTTTATCAGAACTTTTCTTACATCTATTTCATTTTTATCATTCTTTTCTTGCATCTTTATGCACGCATTCTACTCATATCTCGTCAGTTCTATCATGATTTATAGACTTATAATATTGATTTTCATTGTAGATGAATGTATGAAGTATTTATATGCATGCTGTATCATTGTCATTGGTTGTATGGTATGGCTTCATGCATGAAAGCAAGTGTGACTAATATCAATGATTCATATTTTCATTCCTGGAAAAAGTAATTAATTGCCTGATATTACGAGCTCTTTGGAAGATGCTCATTTTGAAGCTCTAGGTATTGAAGGTTTTCCATAGTTAGTGCAATTGAGTCTGATCATGAGAGTATACAAAGCAAAGTAGAGTGAAATATGATATGCTTTAGATATTGGGGATGATTATCAATGGATAAAGCATGAAATTAACAGAGGGAGATCAATGGATGAAGTCCTAGTTTAACATTTTCAAGTGGGAAAAAAAATTGAATTGTGCTGTTTCCACACAATTTCCACACAAACAAAATCAAGTAAAATGGTGAACAGGTGATATGTTAACTGACCCATTGGCAAAATTAAATCCATTGCCCTAGATAAAATACTACATTGTTTCCATAGCCAATTATTAACAGATGATGAGTATGAGTGATGAAACATAATACATAGTGTCAGAAGCTAAATTATTTGACAAGTGTTAATTCGAAATGGAAATATTTTAAGTTATATTTCTTGTTTATCATGCCATTGAATTCATAATAATTTTGATTAACATTCCCAATATAAGTAATACATAGTACAGTGTATGTGTAATGATATAAACAGGATCACCTATATACATTGATAGTGCATATCAACCTTCACTCCCCTTATAATATAGATATATCACTATTTGTCATATCACATTAAAGCTTAATATTCAAGATATAAGTGTATGTAATAGCAAGCCAATAATCCAAGCCCTTGGTTTGAAATGGCTTCTAGATCTCACCGCCTTGGGCTGTCATACCCTGTGTGATGATTTTTATATGCCTTGATTCTTCGGCTTGAGAGTTGAGACCCATAACAACCGAACAAGGGCCTCTCGATTGTGATATTGTAATAATGTCTAGGAAGAAGGTTCATTAAGCAAGGTACTTAGAATGTAATGGAGGAACTCATCTCATCATGTCATTAAAATATAACCTTAGCTCCATCAGCTGCTGGAGGTAATCTGTCCAATAGGTGATAGACCGGCTTATATGCAGAGTATACCACGGGACAGGGAAGGAATATATTATAATAATTAATTCCTTCATTTCCTTTATAATCCCATTTCTTGTAATATGATAAATATTAAAACATGAAAAATATTCAGTTTGTCAAGTTGTAAATGTACTATTTATATATTTTCATTTTTTGAATATTTTTAAAAGTAAAGTTCGATATTTATTCAAACACATTTATGCTCCATAACAATAATTATATGTCAAGGATTTTAATAGTAGGTTAATGTTTAAAACAAACAAAAACATATTGGTCAGGAATGGATTGGAATAAAATATCTGCATTTTTACTATCTTCCTAGTGGTCTTGATAATTTCAAAGGAGATTTACACATTTCAGACAAGACTTTCTGTAAATAAATCGGGTGCAAGTGTGTGAAGTGTCCCTTATCTTAAAAAAAATCCTTTTCTTTCAGCTAATGAGTCTTGAAGTGTATACAAGTTGTGTACATGTTACTTGAAAAATATATGTATAATTCCATGGGATGTAGATTGGAATAGAAATTGAAAAGAAAAATAACATTTCCACTGCTAATCAACTTTTTTTCTTATTCTCCCCTGAAGGCTATAATAAATTCTGATCTTTTGTGCATTCTATATCTATGGTTGATCCTTCTTTTTTGTCTAAGCGTGTGAAACTCTGTAACTAAAATGTGTAACAGATAACAACTTTTTTCCAGCTCTTACTAGTCTTCTAGTCTTCTTTACTGTACTCAACTAAACCTTTTATTGCAGTGTTCAGCTCATTAACATATATATTTCTTGTTGACAATTTCTTTCTAATGAAGTTCTTATCAGTGTTACATGTTGTGTAAGGTACCATTAACTTGTTTACTTTGTTGTGAAAATTGTAAGATTAAAACATCTAAAGAAGGCATACATGAATTATGGAAGGAAAATAGGTATTATGGATTTGATAATACAATGATCGCTTATTCTTCAATACCCAAAGTATTGTAATCTTAGAATCATAGATTTGATCATAATAGGAGTGGTAATTAAAAGGGATTCTAAACATTTGTCATCATCCATACGATTTGCTTCTCATTTTGATTTGAACTCATTTTCTATCATTGCTGTTCTAAAGTTAAATGGTACATTTAAGGCAATGAAACAAGTACTGTTTTGTTACTAAATAATTTATATACCGTAGTCGGTTAGTAAACGGATTGATTTAATCTAAAGGAGAACATATCTACTCTTTCTGCAGTTGAGAATTTAACCACTGATCTAAACTAACCTCTGTATTCTTACTTTCTGCTCATTGCAATCAAATATATCTTGAGTTCTAAGTTGACTTTTGAATGCAGTGTTGAGTTTGATTTAAATTTTATTATTACATTTCAGTCTAATCTTTGTTAAATTACTATCTGATTGCTTTGAAATATATAGCTTAAATTTCATATCTTCTTCATACTGAAAATTATAATCTAATAAGCGTGAGTGTAGATTATTAGTTGTTTGAAATTGGCATTAGAGTTTGGGCCATTTACCTATTTGGTTACCATTAACTCTATGACGTGTTTGTATAATTGGCTAATACAGCTGTTGTTGTCTTAAATATACCTTATAACATAATATATATAATGTTTATCTTTCTTAGATAGGGACATTTGTTATTTTTAATATGTAGAAAATTACTCCATATCAGCTCCATAACTTGTCCCAATGCTCTACATTTTACTTTGTAAACATTGTCACAAGTCAAGGAAATGACTACTCATTTTCTCATGAACCCCAAGATGTATTTGATATTGACCTCGTAACCAATAAGAGCCAATCTCGAGATACTCATGACCAAAGGGACTTTTTTTTGTAATTTTCCAGTTTTCCTTTTTTTTTTAATAATCAAAATTCTAAATGATGTTGTTATTTGTTTATCATTCTCTTAGTCCTCAGGAGCGAAGTGTAGATGATTTGGAGATTATCTATGAAGAGCTTCTTCATATCAAAGCCTTGGCACATCTGTCTGGCATGGTCAAACGTCAACTGACCAGTGTCCTCGTCTTTGAGTGCCATGAGAAAGCTGGAACTGTCTGTAAGTTTGAAAGGTGTTTTACGTCCTTCAATTGAAATCTGTAGTACAGGCAAATCTATCCTTAGGATGATCTGCCATTGCTCTGTCGACATTTGCTAGATGAGATATAAGTTGTCAATTATGTTGAATGATTGTGTAATTATATTTGATTTTGGTTGAGGATTAGGTATTCTACATTTAATCCTGAGTAATTTTGAAATAAGAATATACTGTAAAATATTAGATAATAATCATCAAAATTGTATGTTTATAGTTGTCTGCACCAGTAACTCGACGATGAAGATTCATGGTAGTGAATCCCTATGTGTACATGTAGCAATTGAAACAGGTGTCACTAATTAATGTATTCTATTTCCATGTGTTTATGTCTTGTATTGCTAATAATTCCTAACATTCAAAATAGAAATCTTCATGGCATTCACAATTACATTCAAAATGGCATTCACAGTGACATTCACAATTACATTCAAACTAGCATTCATAGTGTCATTCACAATTACATTCAAAATGGCATTCATAATGACATTCACAATTACATTCAAAATGGCATTCATAGTGAAATTCACACTCACATTTAAAATGGCGCTCATAGTGACATTCACAATTACATTCAATATGGCATAGTGAAATTCACAATTACATTCAAAATAGCATTCACAGTGACATTCACAATTACATTCAAAATGGCGCTCATAGTGACATTCACAATTACATTCAAAATTTCATTCATAGTGACATTCACAATTACATTCAAACTGACTCTCATGGTGGCATTCAAAATGATCTTCCCCATGACATTGATCCTTTCCTTCCCTTATCAGTATTCCATCAAGGAGATGAGGGCCGCTCCTGGTTCATCATCCTGCGAGGATCAGTCAACGTGGTCAAGTATGGCAAGGGAGTCGTCTGTACTCTGCATGATGGAGATGACTTTGGCAAACTAGCCTTGGTTAACGATGCTCCTCGGGCCGCTTCAATTGTGCTACGAGAAGACAACTGTCAGTTTCTGAGAGTTGATAAATATGACTTCAATAGGATACTCAGGGTGAGTGCTGTACACTTGTGAGTTTCTTATTAAATAGTGATATCAATGAAGTTACAAAAGTGCCTTCAGGGTTTTGCAATTTCTCTCTTGATTAGTTACTTTGGAATGCTTTCTTCAACTACTGATTAGAGGGAAGAGAAAATGAAGTACAGACCTGTTAGATGTGGAAACTGGTAGGAGTTGTTATATTGCACTGCATAGTACATTGCACGTAAACATCTTTTTAGAAGTAATATGTTGATTAAACATATGTTTTCTTATTATGACGTGTCTTTTTTAAATGATTTACATGTAGCAATGTCTCATAGTATGGAGATCCTACATTAGCTTCTGTGACTATTGCTCCAGGCTTTATTTCATCGAAACCAAAGGTATAAGCTTAGGGTTAGGTTTTCACTTTGGTTTGAGGTCGGGTTTAGGGCTATGATCAGGGTTAGGTTTAGTGTTGGGTGCTGGAGTCAAAGTTAATGTTATTAATGTAGGGGTTGCTACAGTGTATTTGTTGCCGGAGCAGGTGTTGTACAACCCTGTTGTTAGATAAAGCCATCATTATCCATGAAAGCAAACTTATCTCCTATGTTTAGTATGTGATAGAGCTCTAGATTGTTTCTGTTTTCCTTTTCAGGATGTAGAAGCTAACACTGTGAGGTTAAAGGAACATGGTCAAGATAGCTTGGTGCTAGAGAAGATACCTACAAGCACACAACATAGTAACAACAATAAACATCATCATGTCAGCTACAGGTGAGGAGAATTCAGTAATGTGTGGGGTACAAAGTGTTTACTTATACATAGGTTTATATAATCTAAATGTACCAGCATGTCTATAGGGCTTAGGTATTGATTGAAGCGATATACTCACTATTATCGAAAAGCAAATTTTGTTGACAGCTTCATCAAGTCGATTTGAATTGGCATGGAATTGATTGAGTAAAGAAGAGGAGATTTTTTTTCAATTTGGGGTTGCAATTGAAGTGGATGTGTTATCACTTATTTTGATTATGGTCTTTGGAATGGTTACCCCCCAAAAGGGTCTATAATAGAGGAGTAGGAAAATATGGGTTGTAAACTATAATGAAATCTTTTATGAAATGTAAGGTTCAATCAAAGAAGGATTAAAAAAAATAAAAAGCGTTTTAAAAGAAAAGAGTTCATTCTGTTTCAACAATGTTTAAAAATTAGCGATAAATGATAAATGTCTGTTTGTTTGTGGTCTGTAGGTATTCTGTAATGGCTGGTGTTCCAGAGAAGATGTTAGAGCATCTCTTAGAGACGAGGATTGATAGCAAGTATGATCCAACAGATACCTTCCTAGAAGACTTCTTATTAACACACATTGTCTTCATGCCGAGTGAGAAACTATGTCCAGCACTCCTACAACAATATCCTTCCACAAATAATGGTTCTATGATCAGTCCTTCAACTGTCACGCTTTCATTCACTGTATGATTCTCCCCCTCCCCCCCCCCCTCTCTCTCTCTCTCTCCCTCTTTCACTTTCTCTCTCTTTCTCTTACTTTTAATAATAAAATTTAAAGCATATTACTTAACTTCCAAAAACGCTTCTAAGTTTGCAAAGAGGGATGTAATGGAAGGCTCATATTTGATCATGCTGGCTATCTGGAAAGAGGAAGCTGAGAATCAACCAGCATGATATGCCTGGAATCCTCTTTCAAAAACATTAACATTTTCTGTGTTATATGAAAAAATAAGATTCTTCCTTCAAAAGATGATGTCATCCATGTATAAAAATTCATCTATGGAGTCATGTTTGAAATCTTTTCTGAGAGGCATTTTTCAAAGAGGGTAATCTGTACCAGATGTGAACTTACCCTAGATAGAATAAATGTTCCTTGACTAGCTGTATACCTATCACTCTGAGAGGACATCATCTAGAGGCCCAGAGCAAGAGACGATAGACCACATTGTCAACAACAAAAGAAGAGTTGTGCAGCTGGTTTGTCTGTGGCATGTGGTCGCTGGATATGCCTTCAAACAAGACACAACCATCATGCAGTTTTTAGAGGTAAGAAGAATCCGTTTGGTATCTTTCAACAGCAAATAAACATAGTCTAAACTGCCTTTAGAGTGACTTCTCTGCAACTCAACTCTTTTGAGATTGCAATGCCAAATATCACTGAGAGAACTCACAGTTACTTTAGTTACACTGAAGACAATTTAGTCACAGCTGTTCAAAAATTTTACATATGTCTAGGTGAGTGAGAGGTACATACTCTCGTTTGCTGAACCTGTTTATGTACGTGCGTTTTTAATTGATTAGGTACAGAATATGGATTCTGATTAGGAGGATGAGATGGATCAAGAATAGTAATATTGTAAACGATTGAAGGATGATGGAATGTACCCCATGCACATTTAGAGAGAATGGTTTGTGCAATGCAACTGGATTTGGGTCTGTTTGTGTTGTCCTTCTTGGCACTTCGTGTAATGATAATAATGTGACATGTAGTGCCTTGGGATAGACATGCAATTGTAAAGTAGAATCTGTGAGTCTTTGGAAATTATGCTTTTAAGACATCATGTATGTCATTAAAGTTTTGCTTAAAAAACAATTGAAGTATAATTTTACAATTTATCTGCAACCAAATCATAGTGTATTAATCTCAATAATTATATGGTTTGTCAGAATGTATTGCAGAAGAAAACATTGTAGTATAATCTTACATTTTGTAGAACAGAATATTATTTGTGTTTTCCTGATGAATTTGCTTTACATTTCTGTGTAGACATTATTCTCAGCTGTGTGTGACGACTGTCCAGCCTACCCCAGTCTTCAGGACCCTCTAGCTAGTCTGGAACAGGTCCTAAAAGCTGTGAAGTCCACCAAGGATTCAGGTTCACATACATGGCAGGTACAGACACAGGTGAGCCGATTGCAACAATTTAAATGTATAATTATCTTCAATTTTCATGTTGCATGCTGCCCTCTTTGGACACGTCTGTGTTTTATTTCTTAAGTTTATATCTATCTATATTTTGTTCTTGTATTAGCATCATACCTATGTTTTGGCCATGTCTTTACATGCGATAGGTCATTAGACATAATCATTATCACAGGGAACATTGTTTTGGTGGCAGCAGTGGGATATAATAACCCTTTAACCATTTGAATACAAATTGGTTTGGGTACAGAATGCAGTTGTCATAGACACCAGGTAACAGCTAACAAGATAAAAGCATGTTCATTCATGGAAAGTGTCAGGTACAGCATCTTATTTTCTGGGGGATCCACAAACTACAACCACTGCTTTTTAGTGGATCCCCCCCCCCCCCATTTCCTCAGAAATTAAGAATTTCTTGTAATAATTTGATTGTATGCAAAGTTTATTTGTATAGTTTCTTGAAAAAAATGAATTATGTATGAAATAAAATGTTATATCTTTGTTTACCTTTCTGTTGGAAATGAAATAAATATGAATATAAAATATGAATTTGCTAAATGTGACAATTAAGTCCAGTGATGTGAGATTATTTCAAAGTATTTTTCATGGTTTCATGATTGACTCACATCCAAGCTCAAGACATTTTGGTGCTATTTCTGTGCTGTAATAGATGATAGATATGGCCTGTTACCTCATTGTGTGTGAAATAATTCTCTTACACTTTCATTTTCTATCCAAACTTCTATTTTTATTGTCCTTTCGTCATGTTTCTTCATCTACAGAACCTACAGCTCTGTTTCCAAAATTTAAAGCATTTTAGACATATTGTTTGATTGTCAGTTTGTTCTCCTTACCATTTCAGATGATTTCATTTTCAAATTTTGTACAGATACACAACCCTCAAATGTGCCTCTTTATTCATCACCTTTCCATAATATGTGTGCAGGTATTAAGTGAATCAAGAACTCATCAGGAAGACGAGCTTCGTAGAACACCTATCAAGGCCAAAGATGAAAGTAAGATATCTTCCTATCTTTTACTCCCGTCTCATTTAATTATTGTAATTACTTGAGGCACATGCTTGTGGTAATTGAATCTTGTGAAGAGGAAGCAGCTTGATCAGCTGAACATTGAAGATTTTCTTACCTGTGAAATTTCACATTACTTTCATATTCAGTAATACGTGTTCAGGATATCTTTAACATACTCATGTATGTCATCTAGGCAAGTTGTGACTTAAAGATCCAAACAAAAAACATAACAGAAATGTCTTTAAGCAATTCACTCTTGCTGCCAATGGACCTATAAACAAAAAATTACAAATTATCGAGTTAAAGAGACACAGATATTAAGGTTTCTAAATCAATCATAAGCTGTTGGTCTGAAGCCTGTCACTATATTGATTGCAAACTATTATTTCCATTGTAAACAGAGTAAGATCTATAGTCTCATTTTCATTACTTTCTGAAGCCATATTCAAGGTTTATTGTGCTGACCACACCTACACCACACTACGTGTTCACATGGATACCTCTGTGACGAACATCATTCAGACTGTCTCAGAGAAGATGTGTCTAGGAAACGACCTGGTGCTCTGTGAGGTCAAGTCATCTGGAGGTAGGTTGGAAACAGGAATAGCTCCGGTAAATAGCAAGCTAAATTAACTTGTCAAAGTTTACTTAATGTTCCTCTCTGCTTTCAGAATATGGCTTGGTGTCCAGTTCATACTAACTTACAAGTTCCTGTCTTTATCCACTGCATTTCTGCAACTATGGCTGTCACAGACCATGCCTAGTCTAAATAACACTTAGGATGTGCTTTACAACTAATTTCTTAACATTACTAAAGATGTAACATTGAGTCCAATTTCCTTCAATCTTTTCAGACTATAGATATAATTTACAACTTTATTTATGTATCTGAATGCAGTGCAAGTATGAACTAATTTTGAAGTTTATATATTTGTCATATCAGTGTTTGGAGCCTATCATTTAAATGTACTGTTTTATTGATTTTATTTTCAGAGCGGTTGTCATTTCACCAGAAGGATGTATGCATAGCAACAAGTTTGAGTTGCAATGGAAGAATATTCATCACCCTTAGAGATCACTTAGATGCCTTGGTAAGTGGATGGAACCTGAGAAGTGCCGGGAGGGGGGATGGGGTAAGACAATTCCAAGTCTGCTTGATTATGCACTTTCCATGATAGTCCTGATTGATATCGGTCAGGCTGAGGAGGATTCAATTTGTTGATATGCTATCTTATAAATGTGACGTGTATTGAACATTGTATCAGAAACATTGTGTATGTCATATATATATTTTATAAGGAAAGATTAATGTGAATATTTGCATCAAGTCAATCATAAATTAACAGCAGAGATACTTAGTGGGACTACCAATAAATTTGAAGTTTATTCAACACTCTTCATACATGTAAAAGCATTTAAAACATACAAATAAAGAAAGGAATGATGAGAAAAGAACAAGATGGTGATAAAAATGACAATGGCAATTTATGAGAGCATTTGGGAAAGACAGAAAGGAGTGATTCCTTATATGAAAACCTACCCCTAAACACAACTATCTAAGCCATGACTCCTTCCCACATTATTGATTGAATATGCACAATGAGAAGATCATACTAAACATTTGAAGTATTTATGTTTGTCTTTAATGGTGTACAAGTATATACAAAATGTTATTATACTTTATGTTATGTTTGTTTATGTAGAAGAGTCTAAAAAGCAATGAAATAATATAGAGTCAGCTTTCATCATCTGCACTGTTAATCACATTGTCTTTCTCACAGACACCACTGCCTGAACAAGAAGGACCAAGCGAGGGCTCTGTTTCATTTCTGGAGCCAACCAGTTCTCGAGAGCTTGCCTATCAGATGACGATGTATGACTGGCAACTCTTTCTCTGTACACATGAGGTATAAACGCAAAAGAAGTCTCAATCGTAAAGCCTCTTTAGCTATCTACTCACTGTAAAAAAAAATACTCACTCGAATAACAAGCTGCACTAACATTTATACCAATTCTGTCAGAGTAATACATTGTTTTACTATACTTAGGAATCCTTGCACAAAATACATGTGAGACAATGCAAAACTATTTACTTCAATACTCCTGCTGCTCTATAGTGCTTAAAGGCTTGTTGTATGGAAGAAAAACAATTTCAAAACCAATTAAAGGTGTTTAGACATACGCTGTGATGGTCTTCAAATCACATTCAAAGGTTAAAAAGTATTATACCAGTATCATAATGACACACTGATAATGATGTTCTAATATATTTTGTTTTTTCATTCTTTCTAAATGTTGTCAGTGTGAGTTCATCTATCACACATTTGGGAGGCATAAATACCGGCGCATCACAGCTAATCTAGACGTCTTCCTACGCCGATTTAATGAAGTGCAATCCTGGATCGTGACTGAGCTCTGTCTGACGTCACATATCAGCAAGAGGGTTCACCTTCTCAAGAAATTCATCAAAATAGCTGCCCAGTAAGGAAATATTTCATTGCTTTTTGCATTAAGAGCAGAAAATCCAAGCTTCTCAAAACATGAAGACTGATAAGAACTATATTTCCAACCCTGACTTTGAGAGGCCACCTGTCTTTTTAGAATCCCAATTCTTTGAACATACTTAAACCTATATTACATGTACCCTGTATATATTTTATCAGATTACTTGCCTGTAAAAATGGCTCTTTTAGATTTTATTTTGTATCAGTACCAAGATAAATACTTCTTCAGTTCATTATTTCCATTGAGTGATGTCAAGTTGGGTGTTAGTTTTAGTGTTAGTGTTTAGAGCAGTCAAGAACTCTTAAATCGAGCTAAAAATTTGCTGATGAAATTAAGAGCCTGATACCGATATCAATGTCGATAGCTTAACACCACTGTGACATCGTCACACAGACATCATTTCACGATGATGATTTAAAAATAGGACATCAAAACAAAAGATATCGTGAAAAGCACAGAATAAATTTACACTTGTTTCTCTGGTCTTATAAAATAACTCATTTTACACAAAAGAATTTATGAATCACATAGTACAGGACCTGTTTCTCATATTTATATTTGATAGTCAGACAATAAATGTGTGACAGTTGTGTGGGTACAACACTAACACCAAACTGGAATTCAACATTTGCTTAATCCCTAGGGGCTATAGTGTTAGTGAATAGGACATTTGTACAAAAAATGTTAACACCAGCCAGAAAGGTCGGTTCAGCAGACTACAATTTTGCAAAATTGATAACACTAGCTACCGGAAATTGACGATATTCAGAGGTCAAAGACTTAACACCAGCTGATTTCCATTTCTGTGTTTAGGGCTGGTGTTAGTGTTTATTAAACACTAACACCAGCCTTAAACACCCAACTTGAAATCACTCATTGTCCTTCTGTTGAAACGTTTTAAAAACCCTTGTGATTTAATTTTGGTACATCTGAAGCGGCCTATTCGGTTATGTAGTTTATGATCTCAGATATCATGGTTTCCCATTGATAACAGCTTAATTTTGATTTTTTTTTTTCTCTCTGTCTCTCTCTTTTTCTGTTTGTTTTCTTATAGCTGTAAAGAGTACCAGAATATGAACTCCTTCTATGCTATTATCATGGGACTGAGCCACATGAGCGTGAGCAGATTAGCACAGACATGGGACGTATGTATCAATCTCTCTCTAGCTCTCTCTCTCTCTCTCTCTCTCTCCCTCTCTCCCAATCTCTCTCTCTCTCTCTCTCCCTCTCTATCTATGTGTCTCTCTCCATCTTTTTCCTTCCTCTTTCTGTTGATTTGTTAAACTCCTGTGCATCCTCTCTTTCTGTCTCTGTATACTATGCATTTCTCTCTTCAAGTCTTTAATGTAATCACATAAAATCAAGATTTATCACAAAGCTAGGTCGTCATACATGGCAGAAGAAATGAATCGTATGACACATCCTAATGTAGTAACCTGTCTAAGTCCAGACACCTATCTCAGATGTGTTTTGGTAGACTGAAGATAACTGAGGTTTAGAACAATTGCATTGTAGTATAAACAGGCCATAGAAAAATATGGTCTTTTCTCCAGGGAAATGGGATAGTCTACTTGAGTTTGCACACACATGAAAAAGAACACCTGTTGCTCGAATAGAAAAATCCATAGAAAAGAATTGAAAGTAGCGAAACAGGTGTTAAACAATAGCGATTGTAAAAAGGTTTCTCAGTATTGTGCTATCGAGATCCCACTAGCAAATATATTTTACTGTTTAGGGTAGCGGAAATTTATAGAGTAGATTGGGTGATACCAATACAACTTTATTTTTTTTGGAGGGGGGGGGGGGATGGGCTTATCAAAATGATCCTAACCATCCTAATGAAATTGTTCAGCAATTGATATATGAAATGCATTGATCAAGCAAAACCATTCCCTTTCTAGATTGACATCTAATTCTTGCTCTTTCTCTTTCCATCTGCAGAAACTTCCCAACAAACTGAAGAGAGTATTCTCAGATTTTGAAGCTTTGATGGACCCATCGAGAAACCATCGTGTGTACCGCCTAGCTCTCTCAAAGATGAGACCTCCTATCATACCGTTTATGCCTCTGCTTATTAAAGACATGCTCTTCACTCATGAGGGGAACAAGACTTACTTTGAAGGTCTCGTCAACTTTGAGAAAATGGTACGTGGCATTTTATCTCTTATTAGACCAGGGGGGTGTTTCATAAAGCTGTTCGTAAAGTTACGCATGACTTTACGAACAACTTGAATATGAAGTGCCAGATAGGATGCCCAAAGCTTCTCCTGATGTTTTAACAAAGTGTGATAATATTTCCAATAACCTCAATTAAATTATGGAAAAAAATATACTTTGCATTAAAAATGTTTGTTATAATAAGAATTTTAAGCTACATTTTTACAGTGCAACTTAAGTTGATGCAGTTAAAAAAGATTGAGCATCCCATTGGGCTTTTCATATTTAAGTCATTCGTAAAGTCATGCGTAACTTTACAAACAACTTTATGAAACACCCCCTGCTTATTAATTAATTCAAATTTCTTCACAAGTATTTTTCCTGTGCTGCATGTTCAGGGAATTTGTAAACTAAATGAGGAATTTGCTATCTACTAAAGATATGGACTTTGAAGAAGTACAAACTCTATAATTTTCATTTAATGGACTTATTTTTCCTTTCATTCACAATATTGAGTTAAGGTTTAAATAACCATGACAACTTTTCTACTTTAAATCCAAAATTACATTTCAAATGATGTAAACAAATTATATGATAGATATGATTAATGTATACTGTAATCTTCAAAACTAATTTAATCTTGTGATTGGTCCTTTCAAACTAACATTTCTTTTTGTTTGGTATCTTTTCAATATTTGTTTCTCTGTTGAGAAAGTTGAATCCTAGTTGCACAATTTTTTTCAAGAATGAAATCTCAATCCAATCCAATCCAAAAGATATTTGATATAGCGCCTTTTCCTTGCAGTTACAAGGCGCTGCACACACGCTCCACAATGTTTGGGCCACTTAAAACAAAAATTAGACACTCAGAAGAAACTTTTAATTGTATACTACTCATTTATTACAGTAACCATATTTAGTGATTGAATTGAAATATAATCTTGACAATGTTATAAAGGTGATAAGGATTCTTTGTAAAACTTTCTAACTTTTGACAATGCCAATCTCTTTGACAGCATCTAGTAGCATCGATCATGAGGGTTGTCAAGTACTGTCGAAGTGAGAACTTCAAACTAGACTCACCTCCAGCAGTTAAGAATGTCAAAGAGATCGTGAGTTATGTCAGGTAAGAAATCAGAATAAGTATGATACATTCTAGATAGTATAGATAAAGAACTAGTGGAACCAGTGCAGGTCAAAGTATTCAATTCAAATGATTTTATTCAAATCCAATGATTGTACCGTATATCTTATGCAATACAATGAATAAGTATATTACAAAAATATACGATGAAACAAGACAAATATAATAGTAATGGCACAAGAAAAGAGGAACTGACTAGAAGCAGAGCTTGTAGAAGTATTAGGTCCTCGGAGGCTGTTTTACAATATGTCTGGAAAACAAATATCTATGGAAAATCAATAAATTAAAAAAATAATCAAGAAATTATGAATTAAGCCAAAACTTAGAAGAAGTTTAGAGCTGTGATTGCCTTGTGATCCCGGCAGCTAATCACAGTCCATTATTTATTACGTGCCTGTTAGCTTCTGTTATATTCTTCAATTTTGGCTTTCTCTTCATTCGTGCGATTTACTCTGATGATTACTAGATGAAAAGCTTTAGTATGTTTGTATCCTTGCTATTCTTCAGACTTGCTTGTTTGACTATCTGTATGACATGTTTAGAATTTCAAACTTAAAATACTTTCATAAAATCCACTTTTGCTTCTTTGATTGTAGGAATCTTCAAGTGATTGATAACACCAAGCGATTAATGCAGCTTTCCTACACCCTGGAACCTCCTAAAACCTGATTTCTACATTGCTCTTTGAAGACACCATAGTATTAATTAACAGGATTCAAATGGCTTCCAACTTCTGAATACTATGTTCAGTCATTGTCAACCTTTTGTATTCCTTTCATTTTTATCATCTTCCATGTGCCATCATTACCACCACCACCACCACCACCACCATGCACCACAATCATCATCATCATCATCATCATCATCATCATCATCATCATCATCATCATCATCATCATCATCATCATCATTATTATCATCATCATCATTATCATCATCATCATCATCATTACCACCACCGCTATTATCATCATCATTAACCACTACCATTCCAATCATCATTACCATCATCGTCATCAGCTTCATCAACAGAAAGGTCTAAATCATTTAAGCCTTCAAATTGTTTCATTACATTATACAATGTAGCTAGTAACATAATTATATAACTCCATTGTTGAAAGGAGAGAAAACTGATTTGAAATTATCCTTACTTTCCAACAGCTAATTATTCAAAAGTAAAGAAAGGCTTTTTTCATGTTATAAACTCAAAATGGCTTCATGGCTTGTGGATCACGCAGAATAAAAAAAGCATGAAGGATACCTTAGGAATGAATGAAAACGAATCTATGCAGGAGTGTTATCAAAAGATAAACAATCACATTGATCTATGCAAACAAATCTGGATATTACTGCAGTAAAGTATTGGCGGATATAATTATGTAGAAACTATTTAAAAGTGATTAAGCACGCCACTTTTGACAATTTTTGTTTAGTTTAATAGGATGACAACTCATTAATATTTGGTTTCATGTTGATTTTAGCCTTTGGAAAACAAGGAAATAGAATTAATCAGTGTCACTGTCCCTTAAAGTGTGTATGAGTTTCAGATGCTACTGGGTGAAGAAGAAAGAAACGGGTCTATTGATTATTTAATTGTATCAAGAACCAGGAAATCAGGACTATACTGTGGTTGAAAATTTGTTTCATAAAATTCACTTTGGATACAATAGAACATGTAGCAGCATGAAGGTAATAGGATGAAAGAATGTGAAACTTACATGCTGGGACTTCTTACAGTCTTCTGCTATCACTGTGTCTATGTATTAAATGCAGATGATTATAGATTGTTAAGAAATTTGCTGATTTTCCCTAAGAGAAAGAGAGAGAGAGAGAGAGAGAGAGAGAGAGAGAGAGGGGGGCTAGCTGATTCCCATAGCCAGTTTAGTGGTGCACGGGACTGTCATATTAAACTAACAAAAAACAGCTATCTTATACTAGACATCAGTGATGGAATTAATTTTTACAAATTACTGACTAGCAGCTGTATATTGTTATACAAGATGTGATGCCTTTGACTGGATCTCATTTGGTCCAGTATTTAGAGGCCTCTGATCCTTCATCATTGTAGTGCATTAGGACCAAGGCCAGGCTTGTTACTGATTAAGATCTAGTTAGTCATCTACATGTACTTGGTGCAATACTCTACTATTTCATAATAATATAGAATTTTCTGTCCATTTTAACAAATTTAATTCAATTTCATCAATGTGCAGATCACTTTTGACCTGAGAATCCAGCAAAGTGAAAATGTCAAAGTTAATTCATTCATTTGTGATTCATGTTGGTAATTGGTCAATCAATTAAAACACCTGTCCATTCAAGTTGATAAGACTTCATTCAAATTTGTCTCACCTGATGATCCAATGCAGAATGTCTGTGTGCTTTGAATTTCAAGATAATTCAATTGAAATTCGTTGGATAGACATAGATATTGGGCTAAACTGTTGTGAAAGGAAGGCAAACACTTTCTTCATAATTATATATGCCTTCTTAATTGTTGAATAAGATGTATGAAATAATCAATACAAGCTTTTATTTTATAGGTATACATATAGTTTCCCTTTCATGAATCTTATTTCAAATGTCAAAGCGAGAAAACAAATGAAATTTCCTAGGGACAACAAAGGAAATGCAGACGATTGTTTTTTCCATTACCGGTAGCCATTTCCTCTCTCTCATGAAATCAATCTTTTTTTAGGTGTGAAGTCCCTAAAGCAGTCACATGGTTTCCATCATTATGTTGTAAACTTATTCATTCATATTTTAGAAGGCAAGCTGACTGGGAATCATCATGACCAAAGCCAGAGCAATCAATGATTACCCCCCAAAATAGAATATAAGACAGAGAGCTGAAGAACCCACTTGAATTATTCTGATAATGATAAAGACTAATATTCATAAGCCTACTCAGCTATGCTGTTAAAGCCCCACTGCACTACTTATTGGAATTGCACCCTCTATATAGCAAACAATGCCTAATCGGTGCCTGTTGGTCCCCCATGATCCTCTTTTTCTTATGTTAATTGAGAGCTGATTTGATGAGATAACCACCTGTCAGTGACCTTGCAGGGAGGTCTTATCCCCTGGGTAAACTAGTGCAGATGGGCTTTAAAAGGAGTATTCCTCCAAATACACATGGGAATGAAAGGATTGAGCCTATTAATTATCCATGAAGCAAACAAACGCATGACAAATATTTAATTGGGCATTGACGAAATTGATTGCAAAATGACTTTATTGATTTGTGCAATGGTACATTGGCAGCTGGAGGTTAGCAAAGAAGATTTAACTTTGACGAAATTGGATACATAATGATAAAATTTAGTAGACAAAATTTAAAATGAATGACCAACGACGAAATTGACATTGAGATATGCAAGACACAAAGTTTTGGGCCGAAATTCAATGAAACAATTGTGAAATTTAAGGAAAAAGTGTTAAAATGGACGGGAAAACATATATATCCTTTAGAAACATATTCTCTCTATAATTGGAGAGCTGAAATTGAATATCAACAAATTCAAAAAATTATTTCATCATGGAGTTAGTTTTGAGATAGCGCCATAGTTATATATATTATCTCATTCTTCATTGTTTAAATTATTTTCTTGTTCTTTTAAAAATATGCAAATTAGAGGGCAGTTTGATCTGCCGCATTATATAATTCCAAGTTGTTTCAAAGCTAACAGGTTATTTCTAAGTCAAATTAAGTTATAAAACAACAGATTATAAAAGATGGTGATTTTCTTAAAGTGCCTTGGTAATGCAGTGATCTATATCTGTAATATTTGTATTCATGATAATGTGTAAGTGTATAGAAAGATGTATAAAAGATTATCTGTATATCAAAATAATGAAATATTGTATTCTTTATTCTTCAGATCTTATGTTGAAAATGTTTGAAAATCTTCACTCCATCTTTGTCAGACGTAATATTCAACAATGATATGTTCAATGTTAGATTTATTTAAAAGATGTTTATGTTCTTACTCTGAGCTGATCATATTACGACGCATTCCTATCTATGTGTTCCTTCAAACTGGTCATTGTGTGCTATGTCTATACTCAAGTTATCATATACTTTGAAAAGACACTTGCCTTTAAATTCTTTGATCTATTTTCTGAAAGATTATATATGTACACGCAAACAATCAAATTTCATCTTGATTTTTAAAGTTTCCCCTAATAAGCATGCCTACATTACATATCATTGACTACACTTATATATTTCATGATGTGTTACATTCCTTTTTATCAATATTTATCTATTTTTAACTTAAAACCTTGAAATATTCTCTTCTTGAACTAATATTCAATCTTTGACAAGGCTTTAGAAGATTGTATTTGTGTTTCTTTGGAGTACAGGAGTATTACCATATTAATTCTCCTATATTGGTGCTTAGATACATACAATATCTTGTCAAATTTCTGCATCAACATCCAGTCTAATTACAACAAATTATTATGAGTGTGATTTTTTATGGCACACCCTATTACATAGAATGACAAGAGTGATACATATTTTTAATTCATTTTATATTTGAATCTCATCATAATCTAGTATGATAGTTGTTATACTTGAATGTTTTAACATCAATTAGGTACCATCTCTCAAACTTCACTACTAGATGTCCAATATTAATTAGCTGGTATTAATAACAGCAGAAACAAAAATGATGACAGCATTTGTTGTATACAGGGGTTGTATAAAAGCATATTTGCTACCATTAGTTTTAGGGTGCATATATGATGGAAAATTTTCTGTAGGGGAAATGGGAATATCTGATTTTGTTTTGTTTTAGTATAGAGCAAATGGCAGGGGGTAACCTCGCTAGTCATAAGGGTGGCTATTCATAACATGCAACTTCCTATACGTGAAGAACCGCTATTCATAAAACGGAAAGGGGGTCACTATTCATAAAGGCGAAAGGACCGCTATTCATAATGTGAGATGAGGGTCGCTTTTCATAATACGCATAGCATGAATAGCAACCCTCTTCTCATATTATGAAAAGCGACGCTCTTCTTCGATTGTTAACAGCGGTCCCCAATTGGGGAGAACTTTGCAAGATATATCACAGAGTTGTCGATCTGTGTTTCATTGATCTCAACTTTTAAAAATCCCAAATTGTTTTAATTTTTATTAGGATTTTGCTCAAACCATCACTGACCTGTTCCGTTCTTTTTTTATTAGTCTGCTTCTAGTAAAACCAACTTGATATCAGAGTGGACTTACCCTCTCATGCATTTTACAAGCCTTAACAAAAACATTTCTCCATGTAGTCTCAAGAGGATAATGTTCCTTCTCCCTATCAAAATTTAAAACATTTTTGACCGACTTGATCATTTCCCGTATTAAAAAAGTTTGTGGCTTTATAACTAGGTATATGAATAAATGAAGGACCCTGTAGAGTATGTTATTTATTATCTAAGTAAATGCAGTGCACTTCCTAACTCGCAAGATGACACGCAAACAGGAAAAGACCAGAAACTCTTCCACACGCAAGGATGTTATCATGTATCCCTGGTGGTATTATAACGGAACTAGTTTATTCAGGTTCCATTAAAAAATGGATTAAACGAATACGAACCCCATTTTTTTATATTGCTGTTGGTGGGAAATATTATGTCTTCATCAGAAGAGGCGAAACACAATCCGTGGTTTAGATTTTTTGGTTAAATGTTTGATCTTATAAAAATGATTCCTTGCAAGAACAACAAAGACTACGTTATATTCTTCAAGTAATTTAACTACTAGTAGGATTAGAGTCCCCCAGCAAAGAATTGTGCCCGGCATACTCATATGCCCGCCCTCGTGTGTCTAATTGTTCAGTGATGTATTTTTTACA